ATGGCAGGAAGGATGAATTAGAAGACAGGCACTTTGGGACCTTAAGGAACATGTCTGGCCCTTAAGAGAACAGGAAGACGTGGGCACGATGGCCAATTAGAGGATTTGGAAATGGAACCTGTCCTTGAGTTGATGCATGAAACCTCAAGATTAGCAAGATGGCAGCCCTAAGACTAGAGAGAGTCCCTGCCTTGTCCTGAGCGGAAGGTGGCGGGAACTGACAAGCTAACCCTGTGTGTTGATGGGTCAGGCCTGGCTTGGCTTCCTTAGGGAAGCTGAGGGTTATGTTTTGTCTTGATGTGGGTACCTTGAGATGCCCACTGAGATGACCTGGCAGAGCATGAAGGAAAAACTGAAGTCCAAGTCCATGTCACAGACAAGAGTTCCTGAAGGCGTTTTTTTTTTTTTTGGTCAGAGGCCAGCATTTCTATTTGTAGCCCTCACCCCCCCCCCCAAAAAAAAAAATCTTTCAATGAAAGATATACAGCTATACAGGAGAGCCACGTGAGTTCCACCCCCCCTACTCCTTTTACCCAATCAATAAACTGCTATCGGATGCCAGTTAGGCATAATTTACCCCGTGGCCAACAGTAGAGATAACTGATGGGCAGGAGGCAGGGAGGGGGTAGCTCAGCCTTGGCTGTCAATGGCACACAATCCATGACGTAGACATCTCCGTGGCTATTGCCCAACTCACAAGCATCATGGTAACTTTCACTTAATCCTCAGGTTTTCTCTGCTCACTCGTTTAGTTTTCTCCTCTTGGTAGTCAGAGGTTTATTGTTGGATGTTTAAATCCATAGCTCAGAAGTCCCGGACTGGAAGTAAGTAAGAGTTGCATTTTGACCATTGAAGCTTATCTTGTGACAGACCAACCAAAGCCTGCCCCTGGCCTTTCTGTGGCTATCCTCAATCTTTCTGTTTGACAGACTTTCCCTTTGTCATCCTCGTCTCACACACAAAGTGTAACCCACAACTCATATCCTGTGGCAGACTGCAGCTCACATTCGCCATTGAATGCAAATGAGTTTCAATCAAAGAAGAGGAAATTAAATTTTTTCAGTGTGTATCTCCAATGGCCCTCAGAAGCCTTCATAACTCTTAGTTATTTATTGCCCTTGGCAGGTTGGTATTTTATGTGGGCAGGGCGAAACTGGCTGTGGTCAGGGTGAGACTTAAAGCTTTTGATTTCTCCCCCCTTATTTTGAAGGGTTAAAAAAGATGTTATATATTTTAGGTGTAATGTTAGTATGAGTATTAATTTTTGTTGCCTGTATGCGAGGATGAATGTGGGACTCAACCACTGTGACTAGATCCAGATTCTTGCAGAGATCATAGTTCTAGAGGCAAATTTTGGTCACAGTTGGTTTTGGTTTATTTGTCTTCTTTTAATTTCTTTCAAAGCACACCTCTTTGAGATATAATTTGCACACTGTAAAATTAAGTCCTTTTGTGTTGTGTGAGCGTGTGTGTGTGTGTGTGTGTGTGTGTGCCGTGAATGCCCATATAAAGGCTTGAACTCAGGGCTTGGGCACTATCCCTTAGCTTTTTCCACTTAAGCCTGGAGATCTAACACTTGAGCCACAAGCTCCATTTGTGGATTTTGGTGGTTAATTGGAAATGAGAGTCTCTCTTACCTCCACAGACTCATGGTTTCAATCCAGTATCCTCAGATCCTAAGCCTGCTGAGTAGCTAGGATCATGGGCATGGGCTAGGCTCTAATTTATTCTTTTCAAACCATACAGCGGTGTTTTGCCTATTCATAGAATCATGCATGCAACCTTCATCACTATCTTCATCACTGACTTAGACTGTTTTCTCATCCCCCAAGGAAACTATGGCCATTATCATAACTCCCTTCTTCCGCCCACCACTCTAGCCCCTAGCAACCCGTTTTCTGTTTTTGCCTCTACAGATTTTCCTATCTGGTATTTCCTATAATACTCATGGAATCTTTCCATACCCGTGGAGCCACACCATATATGGCTTTCTGTATCTGGCTTGGTTCATTTAGCATATGTTTACGGAGTGTATTCATCCTGTGGTATGTATCATTAATTCAGTTCTTTTTTTACTGTCAATATTCCATGTGGTGTATCGCATAGACCACATCAGTTTATCCATTCCCCAGATGATGGACATTGGGTCCTACTTGTTTGTTCTTATGAGTAATACTACTATGAACATTTGTGGAGACATGTATGTACAGGATTGGAATTTCTGGATCATGACTATATTTACCTTTTGAGGAACTGCCAAACTGTTTCCCAAAGTGGCTATGCCTTTTTCTCTCCCTCCCTCCCTCCCTCCGTCCCTCTCCCTCCCTCTCCCTCCCTCTCCCTCCCTCCCTCCCTCTCTCCCTCCCTCCCTCCCTCCCTTCCTTCCTACCTTCCTTCCTTCCTTCCTTCCTTCCTTCCTTCCTTCCTTCCTTCCTTCCTGTCTTCCTTCCTTCCTTCCTTCCTTCCTTCCTTCCTTCCTTCCTTCCTCCCTCCCTCCCTCCCTTCCTTCCTTCCTTCCTTCCTCCCTCCCTCCCTTCCTTCCTTCCTTCCTTCCTTTTTTTGGTGCCAGTCCTAGGGCTAGAATTCAGGGTCTGGGTGCTTACCCTGAGCTTTTTTGGCTCAATACTAGGGTTCTCCTACTTCTACCACTTCTGGCTTTTTTTGCTGATTAATTTACAAAAGTCTCAAGGCTCAAGTGGTAGAGTACTAGCCTTGAGCAAAAGCTCAGGGATAGTGTCCAGGCCCTGAGTTCAACCCCAAGACTGGTTAAAAAAAAAAAAAAAAGCCAGCTCATGATCACTCTTATACCAACTATGTTTTACATATCAACTTTAAATTTTAAAAATACATGTATATATATATATACACACATATCCTGATTTTCTCATTATAAAATGAAGTTTTACCTCATTTATAATAGCTCTTCCAGATGGTTGTGTGTGTGTGTGTGTGTGTGTGTGTGTGTGTGTGTGTGTGTGTGTGTGCGCGCGCACATGCGTGTATGCATATGATTGTGTGATTGCTTTGTCCTTTGAGACAGAGTCTACTGTGTTGCCCAGGCTGGGCTCAAACTCATGGAGTTCATGCGCTTAAGCGATCCTCCTGTGTGGCTGGGATTACAGGTGTGTGCCATTACACCTGGCTTCCCTTCAGCACCCTTTTCATAGTAAATTATTTTGAATTCTAGTACTTTTCAGGGTTTTAAATACCAAGCTATCTTGGGTTATTTAGTTTGGGGCTCGATGGGGAGCTGTTTAGTTTTATTTTTTGAGGTATTTGTTTTTCTTGTATATAGCTTAGAACTTGCATCCCTCCTGCCTTAGCCTCCTAACTCTTCTTCTTTTTTTTTTTTTTGCCAGACCTGGGGCTTGAACTCTAGGCCTGGGCACTGTCCCTGAGCTTCTTTTTGCTCAAGGCTAGAGCTCTACCACTTGAGCCACAGAGCCATTTCTGGCTTTTTCTGTTTGTGGTACTGAGGAATCGAACCCAGGGCTTCATGCATGCAAGGCAAGCACTCTACCACTGAGCCACATTCCCATCCTAGCCTCCCAACCTTTGGGATTATAGGCTTATGCCACCGATTTTCTTGTTCTTTTTGCCTCAGCTTTGATCAGGTTTCCCTTCCCTGTGAAATTATGGGATATCTGTGCCCTAGTGGCTTACTTCCTTTCTTTCTTCCTTCCCTCCCTTCCCTTACTTTCCCTTCCTTTCCCTTCCCCTCCCTCCCCCCCCCCCCCTCTCGACCTAGGCTCTGTCCCTGACCTTTTTTTGTTCTACCACTGGAGCCAGAGCACTACTTCTGGCTTTTTCTGAGTAGTTTTTTTGGAGATAAGAGTCTCGCAGACTTTCCTGTGCAGGCTGGTTTTGAACTCTGATCCTCAGCTCTCAGCCTCCTGAGTAGGTAGGATGACAGGTGTGAGCCACCAGCACCGGGCTCCTACCTACTTCCTTCTTTGCTTGCTCTGACCTCCAACCATTTTCAGTTATGTCTTTTATCTTGTCAGATCAATAGCATTTAATGTCTGTTCTTCAGTCATAGTTAAGTTCTCCATGACTTGATTGGTTAGTCCCAAGATTGGAGAATCAAAGAGAATTTGCATTATTACCACTTTCAATATTGTTCACTGTAGAGACAAGTACCATGAGCCATGTGAAGATTCTTTTTTTTTCTTTCTGTAGATTCAGTATAACATTTCCATGGGAAAGAAGGGGAAGCATACAGTTGATTCTCTTTCTTTTTCTCTTCCCTTTCCCAATCCCTGGGGATCAAACACCAGGACCTTGTGCATGCCAAGAAAACAGTCTCCTGAGCCAAACCCCAGCCCAGATGTTTTTTTGGCTCAGAAATATGTGATGATATGATTCATGGACTCACTCTGCAAGGTGTCTTAGCATTTGTATCTTATAAGGCCTTGTACTCATTAATTATCTTTGGTATTATGTCCTCAGTAAGAAAAGGTAATCTGGGCTGGGAATGTGGCGTAGTGGCAGAGTGCTTGCCTAGCATGCATGAAGCCCTGGGTTCCACATAAACAGAAAAAGCTGGAAGTGGCACTGTAGCTCAAGTGGTAGAGTGTTAGCATTGAACAAAATAAGCTCAGGGGAGGGGGTAACGTGCTCTCTAGGAAATGTACTCATGTAACTGTAACCCCTCTGTACAGTATCTTTACAATAAAAATAAAATAAGCTCAGGGACATTGCCCAGGCCCTGAGTTCAAGCCTCTGGACTGGCAGAAAGAAAGAAGGGGTGGGGGAGGGAGGGAGGGAAGGACAGGTAATCCTTAAGAAGAAAGTCATCTTTCCATCTTGCTCTCATGCCATTTATGACCTCTTAGTAAATTAGATCCATATCCCTAAAAGTTACACACTGTAACTTCACTTGTAAAATAAACACAGCCAGTTCTTTGAATGCCATTGTGATTAGAGTTACATATATTTTATTTTATAATGTGTTATAAATATATAAATACTAAAGAATAAAGCTATTTAAAACACATAAATTAAAATGTCGAGCTTCCACACTGTAAATATTTCTTCTTCATCAGCCTTTTTAGGTTTTCCAAAAAGTGTTTCCATGTGCTCTTATTGGAGTCATTCACAGGACAGTGTTTCTAAAAACAAACAAATGAACACAAAAGAACCCCACGTTTCATTAAGTTGGATCAGTAAGCATTCTACCCTTGCTATCTGTCCGGCCAAGTTTGTCAGCTTGGTCCAGCCAGTGCTGTCATTTGCCAGTTGAACAGTAATCAGACCAAGGCCTCCAGTCTAGCTTGACTATCAGTCAGCTCCAAGATTTGCCTGTCTTTTTGGGGGGGTGGGCTTGAACTCTGGGCCTGTGCGCTGTCCCTCAGCTCTTCAGCTCAAGGCTAGTGCTCTACCATTTGAGCCACAGCACCACTTCCGGTTTTTTCGTGGTTTATTGGAGATAAGAGTCTCACGGACTTTCCTGCCTGGGCTGGCTTTGAACTGTGATCCTCAGATCTCAGCCTCCAGAGTAGTTAGGATGACAGGTGTGAGCCACCAGCGCCAGCTAAGATTTGCCTGTCTTTTGGTACATGCTACTTATACCTCCAGAATTAGTTACTTTACCACCATGACCTGTCTTCCTTCAGAAGTGCCACAGTCTCTGGAGAGGTATGTCACAGCTAGAGGCTACTCAGAGGAAGGTGCTTCGCCTCTGCATAGCTGCCTGGCCTGCAGTAAATACACCCCCTCTTCCCTCCACCCTCCACCATGCCAGTCCCATGGCCATTCCAAGTCTGCATCGTGGTGACCTTGCAGGACATGTAACAGAGTCGGTCACTCTGTCCTTAGAAGAGTGTCTTCACTTGCCTTCTGGGCACCAGACTCTTTCCCATTTTCTCCCACTTTACCAGTTAACTACTCTCTGCTAGCTTCTCCCTTTGGGCTCAGTTCTTAGATCTCCTCCATTCTCTGTTCACTTATACTTTAAACATTCATACTTTAAGTCGCATCTGCCTAAGGAATCTTCTCCATCCGTCTGTGTGTGCACGCATGCACACCAGTACTGTGGCTTAAATTTAGGGCTTCCTGCTCTTGCTTAGCTGCTTCTGCTCAAGGCTAGCTAATGCTTCCACTTGGGCCACATCTCTGCCTCCAGATGTCTTGGGTGGGCAGATTGGAGATAAGCATCTCATAGACTTTTCTGCCTGGGCTGGCTTTGGACCCCCATCCTCAGACCTCAGCCTCCTGCGTAGCGTGAACCACTGACACCAGCATTGTTTTTGTTTTGTTTTTAACAGTACTGGAATTTGGGGCCATGGCCCCAGGCTTGCTAGGCAGGTGCTCTACCACTTCAGCCAGGCCCACAGCCCTGGAGTGATCACTGGAAATCATACAAACCACAGCATCATCTGCCCTGCTTGGTACTGCAGGTCTTTCCCACTATCCTGGGGGGCAGAATCCAAAGGCACTCATGTGGACCGATCCACCAAAGTCTTCCCTTGCTTCCTCTGATCCAGCCACACGTTTTCCTTTTATGTCAGAGACCAGGACTCCAATTCGGTATCTGCTCAGTTAGCTCATTGGCTAGTGCCCTACCAACTGAGCCACGCCTCCAACCACGCCCCTCCTTCCCCCTGAACAGGTAGAAGTCATGTCCTTCTAAGGACCTTGGCCTGGCAAGTCCTCCTGTGCATTAGTTGTGTGGCCTTGCTTCCTTACCCCAGTGTCTGCTCAGAAATGTCACCCCCTCCCATAAATCATCCTCTCTCCCATGACCTGTGCTCCTAACTCCTAACATTGCTCTTCAAAGCACAATCACTACTAGACATGGTATCACCAAGGCTTGTGTCTTCCAAGTCCCCCAGTCAAACATTTCCTGAGGGTGGGGATCGCCTGTTTATCTTTAATGCTGCAGCCTTGCCGCCTAGAACAGCCTGGTGCTTGAAGAGCCTCAACAAACACTTGCTGAATGGGCAGGTGGCTGATCAGGGCACCACAACTCATAAGGAAGGAAGATGGCTTGGAAGCCAGGCTGCTTTCTACCAGAGCAGCAGCAACAGTGTAGCTTACCAACGTGACCCTGCTGTAGAGCGCCCTGTAGAGTCTTCTCAGATGATGGAGAATGTCGTGTTCTTTGCGTCTGGTCAGACACTGAGTTAGTTCACTGCCATTTTGGTAGGTCTGCTGAAGCACAGTCATAGCCCGGCAGAGGTTTTCCATCTCAGATGTGTTCTATAAAGAGAAATACCACAGATCGCCATGGCCGGCTCTTATTTTCAACATGGAAGATTTCTTTTTGTCCTCCTGAATTCTTCTTTCCAGGAAGACAAATAGAGACAGTGACTTTGCCCAACTGTAAATCAATTTTCACATATCCTCAGGCCTCAAAGCAAGGCCCTGGCTAGTTACAAAACTCTGTCTCCCTCCTTCCCTCCCTCTCTTCTCCTCCCTCTCCCTCTCCCTCTCCCTCTCCCTCTCCTACCCAGGCTACATTGGAACCGCCATCCTCAGATCTCACTCAGCCTCCTCAGTAGCTAGGATTACAGGTGTGAGCCACCAGTACTTGGCACAAATCTCTATAAACAACCTCTTTCAAGCACACTTTGTCTCTCGGATCCTCCCAGTTTTTGTTTGTTTGTTTTTAACTGTTGTTCTTTTTTCCCTTGGGGGTTTTGATGAAGAGAGAACTCAAATGAAGCCGATTCAGATCATCTGTGACTACAGCCCGTGGCCGTGGGAGTTCTTTCCACACAAGGCACCTGAATAAGCTCTTAGGCATTTGCTCTTATGCCTGTGACTGGCTTGCCCTGGAGATTAGCCATGTTTGCTGAATGAGGGAACTCTATCCTCAGGCCGCACTAGGCGTGTGGCCCACCCCAGTGACAGAGCTGTGGCTGTGGAGAAGTTTGTGGTCCAAGGGAGGAGTGAAGACCTTTCTCCCATACCTGGACAGGTAAGTGAGCAGTTTGGGGCAGGGAGGCCCCTGGGAGAGGTCACCATTGAGGTCAGCTTCTGTAAGGGACCTTTGGCTTATAGTGGCAAACACTGAGAACTTGGAAGGCTTGCAGTCTGGTCACTTGGCTCTTTCTGGGGATGTTGAGACTTAGAAGAGTGAATGTGCAAGAAGGGAACTTTTGTGTGAGTGTGTGAGTGTGTGTGTGTGTGTGTGTGTGTGTGTGTGTATGTGTGTGTGTGTGTGTCCGTCCTATGGCTTGAACTCAGGGCCTGGGCATGGTCCCTGAGCTTTTATGCTTAGGGCTAGGGTTCTACCACCTGAACTACAGCTTCATGTCTGGATTTTAGAAGGTTAATTGGAGATAAGAGTCTCATGGGCTTTCCTGCTCAGGCCTGACTTTGAACTGTGAACCTCAGAGCTCAGCCTTCTGAGTAGCTAGGATGACAGGCGTCAACCACCAGCCCCAAGCAAGGAAACAATTCTTGTTGGAAGCCCTGGGAGACAAGGCTGTATCTCCAACTATCCAGGACTGGGTTAGCCTCTCTTTGTCCACATCCCTAGAGCCTGGAGAGGGGTCTCAGCTTGAGCTCAGTTTCTAGGGGGTTCAGAAGCTATCTCTAGCCTCCACTGGAACCTGACCTCAGCCCTTGCTGCTGTGGTCCAGGGTCGCGCCTCAGGAGTTTGTTAGAGACCCCACTCTGACCTGCTGAGCCAGTGCAGTGGAAAGCATTCTGGGAAACTCCAGAAGAGGTACTGTCCAAGCAGATTTTAAGTTCTTACAATTACCGACTTTTTATCTTGACTATCAAAGTATTTTTTTTTAACAAAAATGAATTTTCCTATCTTGCCAGCCAGAGATATCGTACAGTTAATATTTCAGCAATTAGCTTCCCAGGCTGTTCTAAGACATTTTTTTTTTCCAAACTAGGAATGAGCTGTTGTTACTGTTCTGTCACCTAATGTACACTAGGTCATTCAGTAGTCTGAATTTGATTGAAATCTGCATTAAAACTCATTATGTATTTGCACCCTAGTTTATCTGTCCCCTGCTCCCTGACTGTCAGGATACATGTGTGCATGGGCTAGTACTGGGGATTGAACTTGGGGCCTAGCACTTTCCCTTAGCTTTTGCATTAAAGCTGGCGCACCTCCACTTCCAGCTTTTTGCTAGCTAATTGGAGATCAATGTCTTACTGACTTTTCTACCTCGGCTGGCTTTGAACTGCCGTCCTCAGATCTCAGCCCCCTAAGTAGCTACAAATACTGGTGTGAGGAACCAGCACCTAGCTCAAGATAGTTTTTCAAAGGACTATCTAAAGGCAACAAAGATAACATTGGAGCCTGCATCAGATAGAAAAACTTAAAAGAACCCTTTCTGAAGGTAGATTCAGGCAAAGGCCTTAAAATTTTAATTTGATTGGTTTTGCTGCCAAAGGATAACACTTTATCCTACCTTCTGACTTCTTGCCAGATGTTGTCCACCTATTTGTGGGGCTCCTGTGTTCTACGGAGTGGGGGGTGGGGGCAGGCAGGTCTGGCCATAGCTCAGAGAGGCACTTTGATAACCCAGTCAACCTGGCCATTCATAACTTCTCAGAAAATGACTCAAAAGTCAATCTAGGGCCCATACCACAAGCAAACCTGTTCCTCTCAACAAAACGGAAGGAAGTAGCCACTTAGGAAGTTTCTTGTGCTATAGTGGCTTCGGTAGACCTTTTTTTTTTTTTTGTTATGGGGCTTGAACTCAGGTTCTGGGCACTATCCCTCAGCTCTTCAGCTCAAGGCTACTGCTTTACCACTGTGAGCCACAACTCCATTTCTGGTTTTCTAATGGTTAATTGGAGATAAGATTCTCACAGACTTTCCTGCTCGGGGTGGCTTTGAACCACAATCCTCAGATCTCAGCCTTCTGAGTAGCTAGAATGACAGGCGTGAGCCACCAGACTTGGCTTGAGTAGACGTTTAACTCAGTTCTCAACTGGCTTCCATCAGAGCTATGAAAGTTTAGTCCTATCAGTAATTGTTTATCATTGTCTCCAAACCCAGTCAGCCAGTGCTATGAACACAAGCAGGCAAAACTAGTTGAGCTCTCTAATATCTATGAACTTCAGCTCTCTATAGTATATAGGAAATAACTCCACCCAAAAAGTCCTTGCTCATTCCTACTTCGCTCTTGCCCAAACAACCTTGGTTTCAGTAACAGCCAGGCAAGTGTAGCCTGTGAAGTCCAAGATATATTCTTTCCAGCAACTGTTGCTCATCTCAGAAAATTCTGGAAGGCTTATTCCCCATAAGAAATAAAATCAACACTAGACTTGGAACGTTAACTCACCTTCCGAAACAGTGCCTTTTACTCCCACACGGCACTTTAGTGGGGTTTATGAAATAATAGTCTTTTCCTTTTCAGAAACATCCTAATAGCTAAGCAAACAGCAATGTGAGCGGGAAAGAAAATGGAGAAAGGAGGTGGTTAATTCCAGGAGGACTAGAACCGTGAAGGGCCAGGCCTGTGTGACAGGTGAGCACTAAGGAAAGTGTGGATTTGGTATAGGACCTGTATATTGTGTGGTAAGGAAGGTGAAGGAGAACTGAGAAGAGCCCGGGTAGAGGTGAGAGGAAATGACCTTCTAGTAACCACACAAAATGAATGCTTTGCCCCAGGCTTACAGTCAAGTCAGCTTCGACCTTAACAGTTTCCAACGGCTGGCCTTCAGAATCCTTGCTTCTCTGCAGTCTGTGCCTATAACACGTTACTGTAACTGGAGTGGGATCCCAGTGGCACAGAGGGCTCACACCTATAACCCTAGCTGCTCAGGAAGCTGAGATCTGAAGATTCCAGTTTGAAGCCAGCTGGGGCAGGAAAGTCCATGAGACTCTTATCTCCAATAAAACACTCAGAAAACACTGGAAGTGTCACTGTGGCTCAAGTGGTAGAGCATTCAAGCTTCAGGAACAGCAAAAATTAATAATGATGATAATGATGTGATGAGTTGGATTCCAGCCATCCTTCAAATCACCTTCATCTCTTCAAATGTGGAAACTGAGCCTCAAAGAACTGAGTCTCAGAATTGCCAAAGGCCATACATATAGCCAGTTAATGTCAGAATGAAAACCATAGGTCTGTCCTTCTAGACCCCTAGTACTCTCTCGGGGCACCTCCCTGGCTTCCCTCAGCTTTGCTAGAATTTTCTCTGCAGTGTAAAGGCTTCTGCAGGGCCAGGGCACACCCCAGTAGGTGCCATCTAAATCGAAGGACTTGGAGGTTTCACACAGAGAGAGAGAGAGAAAGAGAGAGTTAAGTTGTATGTGTATGTACTGTCCTTCAGAAACTCATCTGGCCTTAGAGTCCTGGAATAATTTTTAACAAAATGAGATAGTGAAAAACAAATGTCTGAAGCAAGATGGGCCCCATTCGTGGCCTAGGTGCTTGGCTGTGGACCCACGCGCCCCCCCCTCCCCCCGGGCCTCACAGCCTGCCCAAGTTGTCCATCTAGTACCTATAGAAAACAGGTTAGGAGTAACCCCTGGTTAATCGAGGCTTTGGGGCTTTCATTCTCAGTTGTGTGTTTCCATGAAAACAGGAACTGCAGCGCTCAGAGCTACCGATAGGGCTGTAGTCATGTGTTTGTCGGAGAAAATGCACTATCAGTTGTCACATCTATGTCCTCCCACTGCAGATGGAGGGGTGGGGGGTGGGGGTGAGAGAGAGGGAGGGAGGCAGAAAGGCTAGATGCCCAAGCAGAAGCAGGGATGGGATGAGCCCACTGTATGCGGCAGGTCTGTTCAGAGGGGACTCGCGGCAAGCCAGCCCCAGATCCCAGAGCCTCTTTGGTGACCAGACTGTCGAAGAAGAAGGCTCTGATGATACCATTTTGTGTTGCCATATGAAGTCTCTTAGACAAAGTGAAAGCTCTCTCGGCCTGTAATCTCAAAATCTGTGTTTGTGAGAGTATCTGGTTTTTACAAAATGCCCTGGCCACAGAAAGCGTCTCATTGAACAGGCCTCTGGTGTTCTTGGTATGATGCCAAAGTTGGCTAAAATTCCAAAGAGCTTTTCCTTCACCAGATCTGAGTTAGCTTGGCCAAATACAAATATATATGTGTGTGTGTGTATGTGTGTGTGTATATATATATAGAGAGAGAGAGAAACACACACATGCACTCACATCTTTTCAGTTCAGTGAAACCAGAAATGCCAAAACATACTCAAAAATTCTCATTGTGCAAAAAAAACCCACCACCACCTTATGTGGGCTGCTCCGCTTTCTAATTAGAGAAGTTTCTGGTTTCCACACTTGTGGATGCTCTCCTCTCCTAAGTCCCTCATCCGCACAAGCAGCCCACAGGATGGCTTTCTTACCTGGGGGCCAGCAAAGTCAAAGATGTCCGCTACAGTCAGTTCGGTGCACGGAGTCTTGGCATAAGCAGGGACGAGAGAATAAAAGACAGAATGAACTTCCACCTCCACAGATAAATCCTTGACAATCCTGCGTGTCACTCCCTCGCCTCAAGAAGACTTCTTGCAATCTCCCCCCCCCCCAAAAAAAGAAAGTAGGCAGGAGAGAACCTTTCTTCGCTCCCCATCCTACCCCCCACCCCATGGACAGGTACCATCTTTTTCTCAGCAGTTCGGTTTGCATGGCCTACCACGACCCACAGCTAACCTCTGATCATCGGGAGAGATGGTGCCAGATAGACTACTCACCTTTCTCCCTGACAGTGTGTTCAGGGTCTTGATGATCTCTTGCAAGGCGCTGTCACATCTGTGAGCAGGGCTGGCGGTCGTACATGCTAGCAGGCAGAAGAGGAGCGGGGCCGTCAGCTGGGGGGTGAGACCCATCAATAGATCTCTATCGTCGGTGACAAGTGTGAGTCGATTCGTTTATCAGGAGGCGCGAACAATGCAATTCTGACCCGAGATATCTCTATATATAGATTTAAAAATTGCTGAAACCGAGGGAAAATAAGTTTACATTGGAAATTTTCATTACACCAGATTGTCAGTCATTTGGCAGGGGTGGGACCAATCAACGACTCTCTTCCAGGAGAAAAAAATGCCTCAGAGAAACAGGTAACATGTTCCTATGAAATCATACCAGTAGAAAAATGAAACCTTTTTTTTAAAAAAATTAACTACAAAGTTAGAGCATAGGAAATTACACCATAATTTGGTCTTTAGATTAATCTTATCAGTTTAGCAGTTGTGCTGGCTTTTGCTTTCCATACAAGGAAGAGGCCACAGGTGTCCGAATTGTGTTACTACCATCTTTCCTGGGGAAAGATAGAGTAATATCAAGAAAATTTGACTTGTACATATTTTGACCTGGCTTCTTTCAAGTATGGGGTGTGTGGGGGTGGGGCATCTTGGAACTCTCTCATATGGGAAAACAGAACCAGGGCTCTTCTCTCTTCTCTGGGTAAAACAACAGGCAGAGGTTCTCTCTCTCTCTCTCTCTCTCTCTCTCTCTCTCTCTCTCTCTGTCTCTCTCTCTCTCTCATGCTTGAACTTGGTACCTGATGCTTTTGCTCTTTGGCTAGCGCTCTACCAACTGAGCCATACCTCCAACCCCCAGTCTTCTCTTGCTCCAGTTTGTTTTTGCAAGTTTGAGATCTTTGGGAAAAGGACAAATGATATCAAATTTGAGACCTAGCAGGCCCATAAGATCTTTACCAATATAGAAGCTTTCAAGATCATCTCTCCCAGTGCTTCTAGAGTGTGTGTGTGTGTGTGTGTGTGTGTGTGTGTGTGTGTGTGTGTGTGTGTGGTGTGTGTGGTGTGTGTGTGGTGTGTATTAGGGCTTGAACTTAGGGTTACCTGGGCAATGTCTCTGAGCTTTTTCACTCAAGGTTGGTGCTCTACCACTTGAGCCAGCCACAACTCCCTTTTCAGCTTTTTGGTGGTTCATTGGAGATGAAAGTCTCACAGACTTTTCTACCTGGCCTGTCTTCGAACCTCAATCCTCAGATCTCAGCCTCCTGAGTAGCTAGGATTACAGGCATGAGCCATGGGCTCATCCCTCCACTCTGGGTAGAACTTTGTATCCTTTAACCAACCTCTCCCCCACCCTTCCCATTCCCCAGCAGCGTGTCTGTGCCTGGCTTATTTCACTTGGCATCCCTAACCTCTAGCTCATCTGTGTTGTCATGAACAGCAGATCACCTGTTTCTAAGGCTGGGTGGACTTCTGTATGTAACCTAGCACCTCCAGTTCTGAGGAGGGGAAGAGAGAAGCAGACAGCCATGGTGTGGAGGTCCTTACATGGGTGCGTCCATGATCCTCACTGGGGCTATACAGGGAGGCTGCTCTCCCTCCTGCTCCCCACCCTCCTCCCCGCCATGACTTCTGACACCACACTTTCACAGGGTCACAGCGCTGCCTTCCATAAGATTGCCTTTCCCTCTGGGGCTGGGAAGGTGGCTCAGTGGTAGAGTGCTTGCCTTGCATGCCTGAGGCCCTGGGTTCAATTCCTCAGCACCACATAAGCAAAAAGAAAAAAGCCAGAAGTGGCGCTGTGGCTCAAGTGGTAGAGCGCTAGCCTTGAGCTGAAGAGCTGAGGGACAGCGCCCAGGCCCAGAGTTCAGGCCCCACCATCTGGCCAAAAAAAAGAAAAAAAAGATTGCCTTTCCCTTCATCCCCAGGCATAAATCAGCATTTCTCAGACTCTTTCATTTCCTACCAACTGCTTACAAATTTAGGGGTCCTCGGGGTCCCCTCTCAAGAAAGAGAACTCAGGAAAGTGTAATGCAGAAGTAGTTGTTTTGTGGGGCAAGAATCTGAATGAAAAGCAGCCAAAAGACACAGAGACCCCCCTCCCCCCCAGCTCAGAACTCCCATCTTCATGGCCTCTTTAGCACTTCCATATGGGACAAAAAGTATTTTCAGACTGCAGGGACTGGGGGGGGGGGGGGGGGGCAGGGAGGAGTCCCATCAGGTCTTGTGTCTGAGTTTTTCCTAGAGTTTCTGGAAAGCAAGGTTGAAGGGACTATTGGCTGCTCCGTTGAACCCGAACTCATCCTCCAGCCCCACTCTCCAGATCCAGGCCAGTCTCACCGTAGTCCCTGGTGTGGCCAGCTCTACCCTGAGGCATCTTGTTCAGATGTTAAACTCTTTAGGGGCTCACTAGGAATCATTGGGCTAGCATAAACTATCGAGACCCATCAGGAATATATATTTTTTTAAGAAACACATATCCCTTGAGTGACTTCAGTTGATTCTCTAGGCTTTGTGTTGTGTTGGTAGGCTGGTGCTCTACCACTTGAGCCATGCCTCCAGCCTTGCTTTTTTGCTGCCTATTTTGGAGCTGGGTTCTCTTGATCTTTTCAGCCTGAGCTGGATCCAAAGTTTACTACTGTATTCTAGGTCTCAGGCTCCTGAGTAGCTAAGATAACAGACATGAACCACCAGAACCTAGCTGAAGTTTAGTTTGTGAAATAAGCATGAGGTGTCTTCATATGGAGGAAGGGTAGAGCATTGAGAACTCTCAGCCTGCTCTGGTCAGGCTCCTGGAGAGTCCAGTTAAGTAGGTTCTTGAGGGAAAGCTCGGGCACAGAGGAACAGGTACAGGAGAAAGACAGTTCTAGAGTATCTGTTCTAGTGGAAAGGCCTTTTGTGCACTCAATAGGCATTTTCTGGGTGCTGCTCAGGGCCAGTCTGGACCAGAGGCTCTTTGGGCAAAGATGGCAAAACAAGAAAGGAAGATAATATGGAAACCTTTGGATCAGGAGCAGAATACAAGCTTGTTTGGCTTGTTTCAATAGTTGAATGGAGCCAAAGAGAAGGGAATCAACTTTCCTGAACATCAGGAACTGATCAGATTTCCTCAAAGAGTAGAAAAAGAGCCCAGTGCCTATGGCTCACACCTGTAATTCTGGCTACCTAGAAAATGGAGAGCTGAAGATTTTGATGCCAAGCCAGCCTGGGCAGAAAAGTCTGACCCTCTTTATCTCCCATTAACCACACAAAACGAGCCAGAAGTAGAGCTGTGGCTCAGGTGGTAAAGCATCAGCCTTGAGCAAAAAAGCCAAGCAAAGGTCCCAGAGTTGAAGTCTCAGTACTGCCCCCCCCCCAAAAAAAAGTAGAAGAAAATTGGGGTCATGTAGCACCATGGTGGGCTGCACATGCAACAGAGCAAGCAGAAGTTGGGAAGGCATAATTCTGCATTAAAGAAGAAAGCAACAGCCAGGCACTGGTAGCTCACGCCTGTAATCCTAGCTACTCAGGAAACTGAGAGCTAAGGATCGCAATTCAAAGCCAAATCCAGACAAGAAAGTTCATGAGACTCTTATCTCCGATTAACCACCAAGAAGCCAGAAGTGGAGCTGTGGCTCATAGTGGTAGAGCCACTGGCCTTACGCACAAAAGCTCAGGGACAGTGCCTGGGCCCTGAGTTCAAGCCCCATGACCATCCCACCCCCCGCCCCCCCCCCAAAAAAGAGCAGTGGCGTCCAGGAGGCCCTCAATCCTGTAGACCCCAAAGCTCAGGAGGGAACGTGAAGAGGACACCGCTGGACTCTGTGTGTGGCAGGGCCCTTTGCTGCGTGAGCAGCGCTGCCTCCTCTGTCTCCACAGAGATCTTGTTTCTGGCCCTGGAATGCTTGGCACTCCGCGAAGGGCAGCTGTTATCAGAGGTGAACACGGTGTATATGTGTCGCTCCCTGTGTGACCCTGGCATACCGTCTCATCCAGAAGCTGGGGGTGAATTAGGAGGTTGTGCTAGAAAACAAGTACTTGGGCTAGGACTTGGTACATCCTGAGTGCTAGTGACAGCATTATTAATATTATATTATTATTATTATTTTGTCAGTTGTGGGGCTTGAACTCAGGGCCTGGGCGCTATCAGTGAGCTATTTTGCTCAAGGCGAGTGCTCTACCACCTTGAGCCACAGTGTCACTTCCGGTCTTCTAGTGGTTAATTAGAGATAAGAGTCTCATGGACTTCTTTCTTTCTTTCTTTCTTTCTTTCTTTCTTTCCTTTCTTTCTTTCTTTCTTTCTTTCTTTCTTTCTTTCTTTCTTTCTTTCTTTCTTTCTTTCTTTCTTTCTTTCTTTCTTTCTTTCTTTCTTTCTTTCTTTCTTTCTTTCTTTCTTGTCGGTCGTGGGGCCTGAACTCTGGGCCTGGGTGCTGTCCCTCAGCTCTTCAGCTCAAGGCTAGCGCTCTACCACTTGAACCACAGCGCCACTTCCATTTTTTTTTTTTCTGCTTATGTGGTGCTGAGGAATCAAACCCAGGGCCTCATGCATGCAAGGCAAGTGCTCTACCACTCACTGAGCCACCTTCCCAGCTCCCCTCATGGACTTTTCTGCCTGGGCTGGCTTGGAACCACGATCCTCAGATCTCAGCCTCCTGAGTTGCTAGGATTACAGGCGTGAGCCACCAGCGCCCGGTTGGTTGGGTGAGTGGCTGTGGCACTTCCTGTTTCAGGGACAGGCCATGGCAGGTTTGTCACATCGGCTTTTTCCCCACACTTGTCGCTCTGGGATGATGTGTCTCCATTTCAGTCTTTGGTCCATATCTCTTTCTGTTGAGTCACGGTTGTTGCCATGGCTTAGGGGACCTGGAAAGGTGGCAAAGAAGTAGATTCTGCGGTAGCAGCTCTAGTCATAAAAGCACTGCTGGGTGCTGGTGGTTCACACCTGTAATCCTAGCTACTCAAGAGGCTGAGAATCTAAAGATCACGGTTCAAAGCCAGCCCAGGCAGGAAAGTCTGTGAGACTCAGCTCCAATTAAGGACCAAAAAAAGCTGGATATGGAGCTGTGGCTCAAATGATAAAGTTAAAAACTCAAGGACAGTACCCAGGCCTAGAGTTCCAGCCCCAGGACTGGCACACACATAAACAAGTATCTTCCTCAGGGAGGTGCTGGGCACAGCAGGTGCCAGCC